ATATGCCAACATTGTAGCTTTCAACTTTCATATGTGTTGGCATTGGTAAGCTTTTACATGGAACATGCAACTATGGCGACAACAGATCAGACTTGGTCAACCTGGTTCCTTCAGATGTTTTGAGTACAATTCCCATCAATCCCAGCCATTCTGGCTGTAGTCGACGTAGTCCAAAATATGTGGACAGAAACATGTTGGCAACAGCTGCTATGGATTCAGAATCAATGCCATAGAACCTAGTGGGACTTACTTCTGCATATAATTAAGCAGCATGTGTGTTATTTTATAGCAAGCCCACATCCATAGTGGAGTACTCTCTGCTTCCAAATCTGGGACCTTCCTCAGCTGATGCAGATTGATATGTAAACTCATTATTCCTGTTTGCAAGCTTTCTGGAATTGCAGATTGTCTCCGTGATTAAACAATGGGTTGTATTCAATGCTGCTGTTTTGCTTGCATGGCAGATTTCCAGTTGCACAAATGAACTTGCCCTCCCCTCCAGCCTGCCATGCACTCTCAAAAGACCCTCCAGAGTATATTGTGAGGGTGTGTGGGGAGAGGAGAAGATGTGGACTTTGCACTCGCAGCATTGGATACAGCCCAATATCTGAACAACTGAAAATCAACGATGGTAAACGACCACTGTTGACAATTCATTTGAACCAAATCAACGATGGTAAACGACCACTATTGACAATTCATTTGAACCATTGGTCCATCCATCCCTGTATTTTGTTTTTGACCGTGACCTCATCTAGCTCTTTTAACAGTCAAGAATACTAAACATGAAATCTCATAATATTTTACTAGGAACTCAGTGGGACATATTTCTGAGTAAACATGCCTAGAATTGCACAGTAAGATGTACCCTTTTTTTGTTTCCCACATCTTGGTTTCCAGGATTTATAGTATTTTTAAAAAAGATGTCTAGCACATACATTATATTTTCCTTTACTAAATAAATCCTCCTGGTATTCTGATCTTTCATGAAAGGTCTAATACTTTTTAAAATGCAGCTCTATTGACTATTAGAAGGTGTGGACACACCGTTAATTGTGCAACTTGTGTAGCAAACAAAAAGTTCTTTTATTCCAACCTTGATTTGCACTAATGTTATTTGAGGCTATTTAGTTCTTCTACAGTAATGTGAACAGACAATAACAACTTTTACATAGCGCGTTCAGCTATAACTCTCCTTAGGTGAGGATTCAAGGGCAATGACTGAATGGAGTTAAGGGGGCTTAAAGAAATCCACAAATTCCATTCCCTGATTCATTCTTGCCAAATTATGGCTGCATGAAAATTTCAATAAATAAATAAATAAATAAGATGTCAAGAGGGTAAGTGGTCTGCGCCAGCTTTGGTTTCCTTATGCTTCAAGTATACTTGAATAAAAATTCTCAAATATCCAGGGCTAAACCCAAGTAAATACCTTAGTTAATGGAAGATATATGGGTGAAATGGGTGAAACTTGGGATCATATTTTACCATATTTTTCACCCTATAGGACGCACCGGCCCATAGGACGCACTGATTTTTTTTGGGGGGGGGAAATAAAGGGGGGGAATTATTTCCCCCCCCCCCCGAGCCCCAAAGAGCAAAGAAGCCATGACAGCGAGCGGGATGGATCCCACTGGCTGTCCTGGCTTCGTTTTTCGCCTCGGAGTTGGGGGTCCAGGAGCGAAGGCGAGGTTGCGCAACCTCACCATCGCTCCCGGAGCTTGCGGGGCTGGGGGCAGGGGAAGCCCGAGCTTCCCCCGTCCCCAGCCCCCAGAACGGGTCTGGGAGCGATGACGAGCTTGTGCAACCTCGCCATCACTCCCAGAGCTTGCTTGCGGGGCTGGGGGTGGGGGAAGCCCGAGCTTCCCCCGACCCCAGCCCCCAGAACAGGCTGTTGCCCGCAAGCCTTGCGAGCCCGGGGGGAACTCCCCCCGGGTACGCAAGGCTTGCGGACACCTGCGCGAAGCACAGGGCGTCCTCCGGAGGGCACCCCGTGCTTCGGGCTGCAGGCTGCCACCCACAAGCTTTGCGAGCCTGCGGGAACTCCCCCCGGGTGCGCAAGGCTTGCGGACACCTGCACGAAGCACGGGCGTCCTCCGGAGGGTGCCCTGTGCTTCGGGCTGCAGGCTGCCGCCCGCAAGCCTTGCGAGCCTGTGGGAACTCCCGCCGGGCTTGCAAGGCTTGCGGATAGCTTCCTGAAGCCAGGAGAGCAAGAGGGGTCGGTGCGCACCAACGCCTCTCACTCTCCAGGCTTCAGCGAAAGCATGCATTCGCCCCATAGGACGCACACACATTTCCTCTTCATTTTTGAAGGGGAAAAAGTGCGTCTTATAGGGCGAAAAATACGGTACATTTTTCTTGCAAATGAACACTCTAGGCCAGGTCTTATAAATGCAAACAGTAACTCAGAATATCTAACATAGAACCACACCTTGGCATTTTAGTAGTTTAGCCACCATAGTTAATTTCTGACATGCAACTTATTTTGGATTTATTTTGATTTTCCTATGTATATCATTTCCATTTTCCTTGTATATGTTTGGAATTTTTTTAATTATCTGTGACAGATGAGATTTAATTATTTAAGCACTATTAAACACTAAGAAATGAGGTTAGAATGTTAAATATCACAATCTAATAGCGTATTTGACTTAATGGGTTGGTTTGAGTTTCATCGGAATCTTCTTTTCCTGTTTATACCTTGTTGCTCCTTTCAGATGGCCATAATTAAAATAATTGATTCAGTGAAAAACCCAGCAGTCTAAAGCTTAACAGGCTGTCAAAAAGGCCAGGCAGCAATTACTGTAATTTTGAACAAAATGAAATGAGAACAGGCATGCCTTGAGCTTTCAATAATAACAAAAGAGGTTCCAATGATGATGATAAAAAACATGAAGTCTTTTAAACTTTTAAATACATATTTTAGGAAACAGCTGCTACACTAAAAAAGAAGAAGAAGGATATACTTTTCTCAGCCTTCTTTGGATTGTTTTGGTCCTTGCCATCTTCCAATTATTAAGGATTATATATAATATTTAGAGGATTATATATAATTATATATAATATTTAGAGGACCGATTTTTAAAAATAAAAAAAATTCATCACATCTTTGTTGGTGCCTTTCCATTTCTGAAACCCTTGATGCGATTTGACAATGGTCATGCCTGTAAATCGAAGCAGGCAGTATCCAGCTCAATAGTTCTACAACCACAAGGAGTTTGAGCTGCTCTTTAGAACTTCCTTGCCTTATCCTCTTTCTGCGCACCCCATAAATCTGCTCCAGAGGGTTGGGAGGGGAAACCCCCAAAAGAGATCTGGGGTCACATGAAGGCACACAGGGAGAGGAGAAGGCAGAGGAGTTTCATTGCACAGCTAAAACTCATTGTACTCGCAGAACTATTGAGTTGGATACCAATCAGTGTCCACATCCTCATCTTCACTTTGGAGACTGAGGGCCAGGAGGTGTTGATTAATGCTTTATTGATTTGTTACACATTATATCTTGCTGACTGGAGGGAGAGGTTTCTCCCTCTATTTTCTTCCAATGACATGCCTACTCACAGAGTTTTCCAGCTTTATTGTTTGTGGGGTTTTTTGGCTTATTTGTTCATTTGTTTCACTGTTTTTATTCTGTCCTGTGTTAACTGTAATTTTTGATATTACTGTAATCCAAATATATTCACCCACCAGGCCGAATTAAAGGTTTTGCTACAAACATTTAAAGCCCCCAACAATTTGGGAGTAGGTTATCTAGCAGATAACTTTCTGCAGTACAGAGAAAGCTGATTCTGAAGATCTGAAGACCTGAAGACATCCTGCTGATTGAAGGCTTGTCACGATGACATGCCATAGATAACAGCCACCCTATGGAACTTCCTCCCTTGGGTGATTAGTGAGTTTACTCCCTTTCTCTGTGTGTATTCTTAGAAAACACTTCGTATTATTTTATATTCACTGCAATTCATGTGTCTGTGTGTATAATCTTCCTGCTATTATTCAGATTATTGTTATAACTTGGCTCAGTAATATCTGCTTCTTCACCAGCTTCAAAAACTGCTACTCAATTTTTAATTTTAGTAGCATACTTGGCTGTGATCCTTGGCTAGAATAATCACAATAGGAATTTCATGGTCACTTTGAGGCCAATTTATAGGAACATGTTTATCATGGGATAGTGGTAAAATAGGCAGAGTGTTCTGCCATACAAATGTAACACTCCTAACGCTCATAAATGTATAGTAAGGAAAGTTGTTTCAAGTGTCTCATTTTTTTTTAAAAAAATCATTATATCCTATCCAATTTCTCTGAAGAGCTTGTAATTTAAACTTTGGTGGAATATGAAATTCTTGCAGCAACCCTGAAGTCACCTCTGCAAAGAGTTTTCATGCAGTTCCATTGTCATGAAACTTTGGCCAATCTCTCTACTAAATTCTCAGCCTTCAAACAAATTTGAAATTCTCCCCATTATCTAAGATCTATTCTTGACCCAATAATTTGATTGATATATCAGTCTAGAAAGAAAATTATGATACTTCGTAGACTGCTTTTCTAACATATATTTTTCTTCTTCTGTTGTATATTTTATTTTGAGAGCTGCCAAAATACATTCATGAAATGCATTCAAGAAAGCCCAGCTTTGCCCTTCTGTTGTGCCAACACCTTTAAAGCAAAAATCTCATATTTGGTGAAGCCTATATTGATACAACTGTTCTCTTGCTCCCATTCTTTTAGCTTTCAGAATGATTCGTCTCACTATGACATCGTTAAATGGAACTACTTTTGGAAGAGCGGTTATATTGTGACAAATAAGACAGGTCTATTTGGAACAGTTTTCTGCAAAAAAAATTATTCAGTGCTCCAGACTGGCATGATCATCTATTGATTTTCTCTTTTCATGGTTTCATTTGTTTCTCAAAGTCAAATTTGAGGCAGAGGGCCTTCTTGGTAGTGGCACCCACCCAGATGGGCAGGGTATTATTATTATTATTATTATTATTATTAAGGTAAAAGTAAAGGTACCCCTGCCCATACGGGCCAGTCGTGTCCGACTCTGGGGTTGCGCGCCCATCTCGCTTAAGAGGCCGGGGGCCAGCGCTGTCTGAAGACACTTCTGGGTCATGTGGCCAGCATGACAAGCTGCATCTGGCAAGCCAGCGCAGCACACGGAAACGCCGTTTACCTTCCTACTAGAAAGCGGTCCCTATTTATCTACTTGCACCTGGCGGTGCTTTCGAACTGCTAGGTTGGCAGGCGCTGGGACCAAGCAACGGGAGCGCACCCTGCCGCGGGGATTCGAACCGCCGACCTGACGATCAGCAAGTCCTAGGCGCTGAGGTTTTACCCACAGCGCCACCCGTGTCCCTATTATTATTACTATTATTTATTATTATTATTTTATTTTCCAGGTTAAACTTACCGATAGTTCACAATATATTTGTGCAAAGTATTTAGCCATATGTTCTGAAGATATTTCACCTCACTGGTGCCTTAAGGACATCCATTAGCGCCTTGACTCCTAAAGATTTACTTTAGTTGTGTGCTCAGGCAAGTATGGCACAGGAAGTACACAATGGTGCACCTCACCAGCATTCATCTCCTACCCATCTTCCAATGTGATTTTATGCCAACAATGCCCTTCTGTAATCTACAAAGATCAGATTGCCTTTAAACATAGATGCAGATATTTGCACCTCACTTCTCCTTCTTATGCTAACCTGCAATGCGGTAGAGAGCCTGGATGTGGCAATTTATACACAAGATTACAAGATGCAGTTTGAGGAGCATAGCCTAGTTTTCTCTTGGCTTTGAATGTCCCAATACAATATAATTGCCCACCTGTTTTTGTTTTGCATTGCTTATGGAATTATCCATTCATTTATCACCCATTCAATTTAAAATGAAACCTTTAAAACAGGCACAGGCAAACTCGGCCCTCTAGATGTTTTGGGACTACAACTCCCATCATCCCTAGCTAACAGGACCAGTGGTTAGGGATGATGGGAGTTGTAGTCCCAAAACATCTGGAGGGCCAAGTTTGCCTATGCCCGCTTTAAAAAGTGTGAAATATCTTGAAGGAAAGCTCAGGGTGGAGATCCTAAGAAATGACATTACTGAAAAGCAAGCCAATAAATGCCAAGCTCAAGTGGCTTCAGATTTAACTCGAAGATCTGGGTTTTGTTTTTGTTTTTTAAGCACCTGACCCCAGAAAGGAATAGGAATAGGCTTGATTGCAATAGCTAAGGAATTTACAAAACAACCTCACTGCTCCAAACATGCCATGTTTCTTTTCAGCCAGAGTTAAATGACAGCTGGCAGGATTTCTTGCTTGAAAAAAAAAAGTGCATTGTGGCTCACAAGGTTCTGAAATTCTTTCAACTACTGAGGTGAATAAGAATAGCTTTCCCTGAAGAAACTCAATATTGACTTCCACAAGTATTCAAACAACAGAACGTGTGTTTCATGAATTTGTGTCTAGTGGTTTATTGTTTATTTTTGCTAGTACTAGTTAACTGCAGATGGTAGTTATATATTGTTGCATTAGAGGTCGCAAATATGAGAAATACAGTCTGATTCTGATATAACTCAGTGCTGGGCCATGAGCTGCAATCTGAGATTCACCTTGAGATGACCTAGGAGCTGTGTGGGACAACATATCTTACTGCTGGTATGCAGCTGTTTCCCTCTGTGAGTAATACCACATTGATGAGCATGTACTATTCCCAACTGGTTAATGGCTTTCACAACAGTTTCTGGCCCACAGCTGAGAGCCTCAGGCTGAAAGCCCTTATGCTCTCACTCTTTGGCTCACAACTTCAGACAAGCTGGAGGCTTAAGTACCTGTGAGGTGGGGTAAAGCAGACAAAGACTCAAAGCCTGAGCCGGACCAAAGCTAGAAATCAGGCTGAAAGAGCAAGCTAGGACTGAAGAACAATCTAGGAGGCAGGACTAAGGAGCAAGGATGACCAGTGTGCCAGAGCTCAGGTAGACCTTGTTGCTTCAGAAAGGCCCAACTGGAACTGGAAACCATCTTATAGCCATTTGTGTCCATCCATTGACTAGTGTGGGTGGACGGGGTCAGTCCAGAGGCTGAGGAAACTGCATTGCAATGCACAGTTCATGCGTGGCAGCTCTGGACAGTATGAAATATGTTTTCTCTATTGATGTGTTTTCCTTTATGGTTCGTTTTTTGCCTTTAAAATCAATAAAATAATTTAGAATAAATTAATATGCGACAGTAACATTTTTAATGCCATCTGTTTACCACAATATAGAGGAAAAACAGCTGTTCCCCTCCTGATTACTGTTTTGCCATTTTTTGTGATAGAAATGACATTTATTTAGCATCTAAAGTAGCAATTGATAGACTGTGTGTCATTTCTGGAAGACTCTGGACTTCCATTTCACTACTAGCAATACTACTGGATAATGGGGATAGCTCTTGGTCATCAAGGAGCTTGTAACATCTTACAACAGAGATGCAATTCCTAAATTTCCACTGAATTATGGCTTGTGCTCCCTTCAGTTTTGCTGTTACAGACTTCCCCTTCCAACTATATGCATATGCACTGGAAATTGTCTGTTATTCATACTGAGAAGAGGTAAATGCTGATTTGGCAATTGTTGCACAGTGCACTGAATCTATAGCAGATTCAATTGACTTACCTAAGAGACCAGCTTCTCCCCTATGTCTTATTGCAGGCATAGGCAAACTCGGCCCTCCAGCTGTTTTGGGACTACAACTCCCACCATCCCTGACCACTGGTCCTGTTAGCTAGGGATGATGGGAGTTGTAGTCCCAAAACAGCTGGAGGGCCGAGTTTGCCTATGCCTGTCTTATTAGGACCTTTTTAAAAAAAATATCAAACGTGAGCAAGCATCCTTATTGCAACCAGCTCCCCAGGATTTCTGGCAACAAGGGAGCTCACGGGGGTGCTGAAAGTGGCATTGTTGCTGGGAATCTGTGATCTGTCATTTTCCATTATTTATTTATCTGTTGCTTTTTCACAGAAGTGACTCAAAGTGATTTACAGAAACAAGTGCTAAAAACAAGAGTAAAACCTGACTCAATCCATTGATCTTACAGTTCCCAAGGGTTCCTGACATTAATGTACACATTCACATAGAGGTGTCTGCTTCTCTAGACCCTCTCCATTTCCCATAACGACAGAGCCAGGTTTGGAAAAGGAAAGGACTGGCACCATCTAGCTTTCAGGTGAGTCTAACTGCAAGTTGATCCCACTATGAGTTGGGCCAAAGTTGAGCATATCTTTGGGCTCAGCTTCAAACTGGCGGGGTGTGGGGGGCTCCTGAGTTTGATATTTGTGCCTCTCCCAGTTACAAGACTTGCTGCCATCCAAGTTAAGAACTGCAGTCTCTTTACAACTGTTCATAAATACCTGAAACAGACACTGGAACCCAGATACCAAACTTACTCTTTTCTGACATTGAGGGTGGCTTCTTATCTCTTCAAGAAAAGTAAATAAATGAAACCAGGAGCCATTAAACATTATAATACTCACAGCTGAATGAATCGCCCTTTGCTTTCCAGACTCTCTGTTTAGTCAGACAATGTGTCTAGGTTCACAGAAGCAACCAATGTTCAATGTGCGTTTATAGGCACAATATTCTTTTATACCCCTAAGGACCAATTTATTCCCTCCTTCCCCTGCTCTTCGGCAACTTTGTTAAAAAACTTAGTTTTCCCTGTTTGATGCTTATGCCCTTGATTATATGTGTTATTTTAGCATCAACAGCCACACTCCTATCTGCTAAAACTGTATAAAAGAATACTTTCAGATATCGGCATGGGAGCCAAGAAACAAAAACTTAAATTGATAGCGGCAGCACAAGAGACTAGAATGAAATGACATTTAAAGGATGCTAACATAGTGCATGTCTTCCTTCACTCTTCTCTCCTGAGAATTGTCTGGTAACAACAATGTAGCTTTCTTCCAGCTGCAGGATATGAATTAGGAGAGCTGGTGCATCTGAGACCAACAAAGCACTTCTCTCTTCTGTTTCAAGATCCACCGTTTGCCATCACATCTAATACATCTTAATTTAAAGTTTTACTAAACCAAATAGTTTTAAATGCAGATTGTCCCCACCCCAATCCTGTGGATAATAAATAATTGTAAGGAAACATAGCAAGTCAGACCATTGGCCTATCTGGATCTGTATTCTGTACACTAACTGGTAGCAACTCTTTAGTGCAGATGTGGGGAATTTGTGACCTTCCAGATGTTGCGCGTCGAGGTCCCCAAGCCACCCCTCAAATAACTCACAACTCACACATAATTTTTGTTTAAGGTTTTTGGCATAATTTTAGCGACAACTTTATTAAAATACATCCCGGTGAGTGGTTGTTAAGACTATCTGTCCCCCCCACCTGGGGATAGAACTGACCTCCGAACTCCCTCGGAAGCCAGTAAGGGTAAACAATATTGGGGAACAATGGAGCTGAGTCACAGGCCCTCAGCACTCACCCACATGCTTCCCGGGGCTTGCCGGCCCTAGCCCCATCCAGGGATTCAGACAAAAACATGGCAAGCCCCTGGATTCCTTTAATGGAATTCCCTTCCGCAGCAGCATTGGAGGGGCAGGCACAGCCAATCCTTACCCCTCCTCCAACCAATTTGATATCCAATGCCTAACCGCAACCTTACAAGTTGCGACGATTTGCTACGCAGTAGGCAAAAACCAAATGGCCCAGCCAATCAGCCAGATGGACGAAATTCCTACCAGGCCCCTGCCCCAAAAGCAGATGACCCCATGACAGGCATAGCAAGGTCAAAGCAAAACCCTCAAAACATCAGGGCGGGTGGGCGGGTGATCCGGTTCACGCAGCGAAAGAGAAAGCACCAAGCTGCGTGTCTGGAATTTAAAATGTTCGATCCCTCCCACCAAATTGCAACAATAAAATTTCCCCAGCAACCCAGCCAACCAATCAATTGCCAGGGGTCAGCTTAACCACCCTGCCTGGCATCAGAGGGGTGACTCAGTGAACCCCACCGCAACACGTGATCTCATTTCAGGGAGAACACGCTTTGCTGAACTACAGTTCCCACAATCTCTGGCTGTGGGAACTGCAGCATTTGAAGGACCACACCTGCTCTAGGGTTTCAGGCAGAAGCTTTTTTCACCCCTACCTGGAAACGCTGGGCTTGAAACTCAGACCTTCTGTATGCAAATCAGGTGTCCTGCTATTATTTATTTATTTATTTTACATGTATATACCACCTTTATCTTACAAGGATCTCGAGGTGGTGTACTTTGTTCTCCTCCCCATTTCAGCCTCCTAACAGCCATACGAGGAAGGTTAGGCTAAGAAATGGTGATCGGCCCAGGGTCACCCA